AAAGGAAACAAACCCTGACAAGACAGCCCAACGTTTCATTCTGAACTGGTAAGAAACAACTAGCAATGAGCAATGAAATGAAATGAATATGTAATGAAACAATGACAGCTGTTCAATAACACAGTTGACATGAAGGTGACAGGCAGGACTGTGTGGTTCTGTTCATTCAGAATCTGGACAGTGCATCACACAGAACTTTAAAATCCAATTACCTGATCAGGTTCTGACCCAAAACGTCATTCTGATCAGCTTGGCTATTAAGCAACAGCACAACTAAGAGACTGAGGCATGAAAGTAGAACTCTTGGCTCAGGATGAGCGGTGCAGCGTTGTGAATGGAGAAAACGTGGCTCAGGTTGACATTTAACACTGTGTGGGTCATCAGGATCTGACCAGAAGCCATTCTTGGAACAAATCAAAATGAAACATTTGAGGCAGAAAATCATGAAAGATAATGGCCAAGACAAATACACCCAAATAGAAAACAGGTCTTATTGATGTGAGAAGTTTAAAGTTTGGACCCTAGATTTTACTGGAGGACTGAGATGAATATATCCCCATTCACTAGTGGAGGGGAATTTATCTTGAGTTTCTTTCTCTCTATTTTTTTTTGCTGGGATGTGAATATGTGCATTCACAACTGTATCATAAATATAAATATTTATTTTAAAATTAATTCTGCATCCAGCTCAGTCTTTTCCTCAACAAGATGTATTTAAGCACTCCAGATGCAAACCGTATCCACAATGTGGAATTCCAGTATGTGGATTATTTTATTTAGTTAACTTACTGAACACAAGATCCTCACATTCTCACAAGTCAAACATATTTAGGGACTCTAGATGCAAGCCATATCCACAATGTGGGAATAAATAATCTGAATCATTGTAATTTTAATTATCTCCCCTACCGGAACACAGGATTCTCACATCCTCCTTGTGTCCACAATCATGCTGTCCCCACCCTGCTGAGGGACACTCCCCCAAGGACGACTCATTCCCCAGACAACCCAACTCGTCCAGCCAGATGGGTCCAGTTCCCTGGCTGAAGGAGGCCGGCACTGGGGCACTGAGGGCCGTCCCACACTGGAGCTGTCTGCACACCACCTGGGAGTCTGCCAGGTCCCAGGAGTCATCACAGACTGTCCCCCAGGAGCCATTGTGATAAACCTCCAGCCTCCCAGCACAGTCGCCTCCTGCACCAACAAGCCTGAGAGACAGCTGATCTAGGAGCAGAGAATTAGAGGTCTAGGGTCAAAGATCAGGAGTTCTTAGAGATTACCATGACCCGCTGTTACAAGTTGAAGATTATCTCGGCCCACTAGGCACAGCAGATTCATTTCAAGTACAGTGTTTCTTAACTTTTGATTAATTTAATATATACACTTATTGTAACAGATTATTTATAAGCAGTATATATGTATATATATATATTTAATATATACAGTAAGTTTAACATATTCCACATTGTTCATAAACAGTATACCAGATAAGTTATTTTTTCTGACACACTGTTGGGCATAGAGACAATAGCTCCACCAGTGTCAAATTGCAGTATTCAGATAGATGTGTTTGCCGTAGATACCAAAGACTCGAGTGTGTTTGTGACAAACAGAAAAAACTGCACATACACAGCTGTTGCCTCACTGAGTGATCTGGGATTCCACTGAGCAACAGAGACATCAACACAAACTGAGAGCCCTGGAGATACAGAACAGGGGCTAATTCATACCTGGTGTTTTGGAAGGGGGTACAGCTGAAGAAGGGAAGCCTGTGAAACAAACAGAGAGAGAGAAATCAGACTGTGAACTGTGTGTGAGAGGAGAAATTTAACACCAGAAATGAAACTACAATTAAAACAGTACTGATGTCACAAGACAGTACTCATTCTCTCTTTACCTGCTCCATGTGAATCTCTGGTCATATTTGATTCTGTAAAAGAGAAGGAAGGAGCTCATTTCTGTCCACAGGAGTGATGTTTCACCAGTGGAGTGTCAGCTGTGTGTGGGGCTCAGCTGTACATAACACCTGTAAACCTTGACTTTCTGAGACTCACTTTCTTTTCAGGCTCCTGTGTAGTTGGGCTATATTAATTAAACTAATTAAGTAGGTCAGATGTTAATTACAGGATACTAAGTTACAGAACTTTCTTTCATCTTTTAGAACCATCAGTGAAATCAATATAAATATAAAACTGATTTTTAGTCCTCAGTGTATTTGTGTATCTATCCATCAGAAAGAAAATGACAACCTAATAATCCCTTGAGGGAATATTTGAGATAGATATGACAAGGTTGTGTGTTTTCATCTTTGCATCTCTTACATAACTGGCAGTGTGTAACAGAGCAGATATTCAGTTAATCATGAAAACAGTGTGCTGCTGTGTGTAAGCAGAGGGAGTGTCACTGTGTTTTAAACACATGATTCTCACCAGTGCAGATGACTCCTGCATCCTGTCCATGAGAGCACCCTGCTCTCCCCCATGAAGAGACAGTGCAGTGTGAGAGACGGCTCTCGTTCCCCCTGCACTCAAACACATCAGCTCTTACTGGTCCACTGCCCTGTCCAAACCAGGCCTGTCCTGGTGCTGCTACAGCCTCCCCACACCCCAGCTGCTGGCAGAGAGCCCTGGCGTCTCTCAGGTCCCAGTAGAGATCACACACTGTCCCCCAGTCCCCGAAGAGCCACTGTAACTCCACTCGGCCAGAGCAGGAGTCAGAGCCGTTCACCAGCCTGAACTCTGTGTATCCTGCAGATAGGATAGGGGAGAGAGCAGAGAACCAGCTTCACAACATAACATAACAACCAGCAATTACCCTCAATGGCATCTTCAAGTAT